AGAACCGAACCAGTTACGCACTAGTTCGTTTCCCTACAGGGAATAGTTGATGATGAAAAATTGCGTTTGTTTGGGAGGTGCCATGCCCCTTTGTCTAAACGGGATAAAAGCTACCCTATCTTTTAAGTTGGGCTAAATGGCACCAGTGTGCAAAATTTCATTAAGAAGATCGGTTGCGTAGTTAAAGCCTGAAAGCGTAACAAACAAATCTCTCGCATTTATATCAGTAAGGACTATCCAATAATGACCATTAAAATAATTTTTAGTGGTAAGCATTTTTTACACAGACCCAAATACACAAACACAAAATATTACACCAGGGCAGGGTTCATGATTCAATAATAAAAGGTTTGCTCAAAAAGCAGTTGTCTCGCTTCCTCTAGACAAAATCGTCTCCCTTAGCAAGGCACTGTGTGTGGGTTCGTGTGAGTGTGCAAAGCTTTTGTAAGGGAGCTAAGAAGGGACCCTACAAGACAGCTGAGTATCATATGAATACTCATATTATCATTATCCCTAATCACAAAAGTGCTTATCAAAGTCCTCATTTTCGTTCAGGCCATGGGAAAAAATTGAGTACTTTCCCCTCAATGTTGTCATCAGAAAGTCCTCAGTACTAATAGTCAAACTACTCATTTATGCCGTACTACAAAAACCAAAGTGTAAATGTGTGAGAATTTTTGCCTAAAGTGCTCAGCAATGTCTTGTAGGGGAGTGTCAAAACTCTAATGCCAATAATGAGCAAACCTTTAATTATTGAATCATGGGCAGAACTGTAAAATGATTGAATCAGTAGGATCTGCATTCACTTGGCACTCGTTTCAAAATTTTGATTGTTTGGCTGTATAAAAAAAAACCTCATTCCTGAGTGGCTTAAATTATTTTGAAACAAAAACAAACGTAATGTGTTGTTTGAATGGCAGAGTTCCATTCAGTATAGAATGTGAATGTAACAAAAGTATTCGCAATCATCTTGATTGTAAATTTTGGTTGAATGCAAACAGTTTTGATCATTCAGTACTACACTGAAAAAATATGCCTTGAAGAAAATATTTATAGGAGAAAATAGTCGTTTTACTTCTGCTTTTCTACTACTGCTACAATTTGTAAAGCATTACCTAAGACCACGACAGTCGGGCCTACGTAACCGGAACGACCCAGATTTATATCTGGCCAAGGACTGTCACTCCAGCAACACTCCCCAAAGAGTC